GGAGGAGGAGGAGGAGGAGGAGGAGGCCCCCCAAGGCGCAACGGAGGGAGGGGAGACGTTGGGCGGAGTCGGTTTCATCTCCTGCGCTCGACTTCGGCCTCGGCACCCGTGGGCCGCCTGCGGTCTCCAGGGTTATCAAAAGCACGGTGCCCCAGAGGAAGGGTCTGCCTCGGGGGGAGGCATGGGCCCGGGAGGGCAAGCTTGCCTCGGGGGGGATGCTTCCCGGGCCTGCAGATGGAGGTGATCGATCCGTCGGTTGCCCAGAGCATTGGGGGCCACGTTTGCATGTGCAACCCCCTCCCCCATCCTGCCTCTTCCCTCTCCTCTCTCGCCCATCCTCCCCCCTTTCCCATCCTTCCCCCTCACCCCCTCCTCTCACCCATCCTCGCCCTCGTCCTCAAGACTGTCCTCCTCCTGCTGTCGTAATTATCCTTAAGGCTTCGCCCCCCTCTTTCTTTCTCCACCCACCCCTGCCATTCCTAGTCTCTCCACCTTCTCGCCATCCCGCTTCGAGCGATGCGCTACACCATCACGCAGGCGTGCTCCCAGACCCTTGATGTCCTGATAGTTTCGCGACGTGGATTTCATATGGCTTCGAGTTTTGATGATGCTTGGCAACATTACGCAAACGTGTTCCCAGACCCCTAGTCACGTGATGCCATCACAAAGGGGGCTTCTTGTGGTCTTGGCTACTGGACCGGCTTTTCTGTCTGAGCAATTGTGTGTTACCGTCTCTGCGCGTATTTCGGGCCCCAGGAGGCCGAACATGACAAAGCATTCAGTCGTCCTGTTTTCTCGACGCGAGGGTGTCTGGGCCCTTTCTCCCTACCTTCCCTCTCCCAATCCTTTTCTTGCTTCCTACCAGCTTGTTGCGACGAGGTTGACTTCATCGTGGCGGGCAGCACGAACATGGCGAACATCTGGGATGAGGTCTCACCGCGTCACCCTCTCGGATTGACGGCAACGGAGGGCTGGCTCTGGATTTCGGGCAAATTGGTTTGCTTCAGTCCTTCATTTTGTTCCTGTTGTTTTGAATCTGGGAGTCAGTATCGAATAACCGACCCCCATCCCCATCCTCATCCCCTTCGAGACCCTCACCAAATTACCACCCCAGTTGGGGATACACCCCTCGAAACCCGAAGTGAACGGCCTATATCCCCATCTAGGGGGGTAAATCGGCCAGTGGGGCCCAGGCCACGCCGCTGGGGATGGGGATCGGTTAAACGATGCTCAGAGAGCCCTTTTCGGACCTCGTGGTAATCAAAACTTGAGCGATTCGCGGCGACAAGGTGAGCTCGGGACAAACGGTCGAGAATTCTGGGGCCCACGGGGTGAAATCGTACCCCGTCGAATGTGTGGGCAATTGCCTCGAAGGTAGCGTTCTCCCTTCCCTCCGACTGAAGTGGTTCCCCTCCTCTCATCTTATGATGTTCCAACCTACTTTAGCTTTGACTACCAGAAAGAATTTCGAGTACCAAAGGAGTACCGAAACTTGAGGGTTTCACGTGTCGGACCCTGGGAGGCGATACTCGTTCGACATTGTTTCGATACGTTTCTGGGTGCTCGAAGTTATTTCTGGAATGTGGCCTTTAAATACGTGGGAGCAACATAATTCTCATCCTCTCCCCCATGCTCTCAGGAAGGGCCTTCCCAGGCCTACCATTTCTCCTCCCAGCCCCCTCCCTCCGCACTCCTCCGCACCCTTGTCTTTCTCCTCGTCTTTTGTCCCCTCCGTGTCATCCTTAACTTCTAACTTTGGAGTGCGCACAAGTTGGCGGCGGCTGGGGGTATGAGATGAGGAACTACTGGTTTCAGCGTAACAGGGGGGATCAGGCATGTCGACTTGCGTCGATATAAGCGCGCCCGTGTCACATCATTAGAAAGAGTTCCACCGTTCGCCAAGCGCGATGATGGATTTGACCTGCGTATGCTTCAGTACCTTGTATGCCAAGTGTCGAAATCTGGATAGAGGGCTTCATGGTACACGTGCGGTTCCCAGCGGCAGCGGCAGTGCGCAGGCGCTCCGCGACGATGACAGCGCGCGCGGTGCGCCCACGACGTCGCGCATACATGCCAGCGCCTCGGCGCTATACCAACGGGCCATTTCGCAGGTTGCGCTCAAGCACATTCTTTTCTCATCATCGCATCGGTTTCTCACGAGGGGGATCTTGGGGCCACGTGGGTGTTCGATGCCGTTACGGCGAAACGCGTCTTGTGGCAGCTCCGCATTCGAAGCATGTCTCATCCGCAGACCTCACTCCTCGGCGCTACGGCGTACGGCGAGAGCCCTAGACTGAAAAGGTGCAGCTCGCTATCCGTGCACTTGCTGGCAATCGGAAATGAGGTAAACATGAGCTGTGAGGACGTCTCAGGCGAAACGGCGGGACCGCCCTACCGACACACTTGGTGGTGCGACGAGAAGAGGTGTTCCCGGACAGCCCCCTGAGGGCTAGCTAGGGTTTCAGGGAAGATTAGGCCAGCTTCCCCTCCACGGCGGCTGGGCAGGCATCCCCGCAGCAGTTTTTGTAAAGTTGCAGCGTGTCCCGCAAGCGTTTTCGCATTGGTTACCAACACGTGTGCCGCAAACTTTTGCGCAGCTCTTTCGCAGCGTTTCTTGGGCTCGTGCGCACCTCCCGTTCCAAGCTTGCAAGCTTCCTGGGCATCCTGTTTAGCTTCCTTGCATGCGTCTCCTCCAAGCTTGCCGGCTGCTCGGATTCCTTGTAGGGCGCCAGACTGCATTGCTATGCGGGATCGTATGTTGACAGGGAACAGGGATGGATGGGGCACGGTCAGCGGCATTGTGCGGAGGGAGCGTGACGCTTGTTGTTATCAGTTCGGATCGTACTTCTAGACCCACGATTCGCAACGCTAAATCGCGGTGCCGATTTAAAGGATTCCCTCACTTTCCGACGACACATCGCTAAGACCTAAGATTGTGGTCGCCTTTGGCTTGTCGATCTTAGGGGTATGGATGAGTTCGAGGCTGGTGATGCTGCCACCATCACTGGCCCAGACTGATCGGCTCGGATGCTTGTGGTGGCGGGGTGCCAGCTGCCCTCAGGTCGCTGACGAGGACGGGCTTTCCTCCGCTTCGCCGAGCGAAGGGCAGTGGGAAGAAGGCGAGAGGAAGGAGGAGGAGGAGGAGAAGGAGGGGGAGTGGGAGGAGGAGGAGGAGGAGGAGGACGAAGAGGAGGAGGAGGAGCAGGAGGAGGAGGCGGGGGAGGAGAAGGAGGAGGAGCAGGAGGAGGAGGAGGAGGAGGACGTGCTTTCTTTAGCTTTGACTCCCGCAGCCTGCCTAAGAAAGAGGAGGAGGAGGAGGAGGAGGGGGAGGAGGGGGAGGAGGAGGAGGACGGCAAGAGTATGGTCCTCCCCTCTTCGGAACCTACCGTCGTATGCGCGCGGCTGTACCGCCGCGGTAGAGATCCTTGCGCCCGCGCGTGTGCCGGCGCCGGTGGAGTGGGATCGCCGCGCGAGGTCGTTGCGCAGCAGCAGCAGGCGGAGGGACGAGGTACGATCAAGGTCTAGCATCCGAGCCGAAACCAAAAGCTAGCAGAACGGGCTTGTGCAGCTCGGCTGCAGAGGGAAGGAGAAGGGCCTCATCTCCCATGAGACGTGTGGGGACGAACCGCGGCCCTGGGTTCCCTCAGCCTGCAGTTGCGGTCAGCCCCCCCGCGGGTGAGAGTTGCGTATGCCCGCGGCCCCCGCCTTGACAGGATCTCATTTCGCAACTAGGCTTGCCCCGAGGTAGCAGACCCACGGCATGGCCGAAGAAAGCGCCAGCATAGCGCCTCGATTACAGCTCTAGCGCCGCAGCGGCGACACATCAGAAAACACCTTGCGATCTGAGGTGGCCGCAGAGCTCGAACGTGTCTGGGGGCTCGGTGGTGCCGTCGGCGTCCGTACTTAGCGCCAGCATGTTGAGGGCTGCAAGGACGCCGCCATGCTGCCAGGCCCTGACTGCCGAACAGAAGAAGTTGCAATGAGGTCGGGCAGCCACTTGCGCCAGGCAGTTTAAGCTTGGCCCTGCTGAGGCGGGTCCTAGCCGAGCAGTAACATCACATGCATGCCGCCCCCTCGCGTCACCACCTCAAAGTCATGAGAAAGCAGAGCGAGCTGAGGGACGTGATCCCCGCGGCCGTTCTTTTGTATGGGACAGGCGTGGGCCTTCGTAAACGCGTACTTGGAAGCCCTGGCCACAGAGTCGGGCGTGCCATATGCATTGCTGAACTGTTGCCTGAGCAGTGTGACCCTGACATCTAGCACCGCGTGTGACTCCTTCCCCGAGGCGTGTAGAGAGGTCGGCCCAGGCCACTCTAAGAACATCGAGAACCTGACGCGCGCTGTCTCTCTCGCAGCATGCCTGGCTCCCTAGAAGCTGATGCGGATCCCCGTGCGCCGGGGGTCCACCCGAAGCTCGGCCGCTCTGGCCTCGACGTATATCTCAACAGCACGTGTCCCTCCGCGCGAGGCGTGCCTACCAGGTCCTGTGTCGAGCAGCGGGTCCCACAAATAGCCCTCCTTGACGGCAGGCTGGTGGTCCGAGGCAACTTCTGCTGGCCCCCAGGGTCCTGCACGCAAAGCCCGGAGAATGGCCTAACGCTCAGCTCTGGGCAACGTTGGCAGGTGCACAGCTCCCCCATTCAAACACGGGGCTTGGTTGCGCAATGGGCGGGTACTCCACAGCGAGGAGTGGGAGGCCATAGACCAACTCAAAGAAGCCGAAGTCGGGGAGCGCCCCATAAGCCCTATTGTCTTTCAGCTATTGCCTGTGCTCCTGAATCTTGCTGGGTAAGGCCAGGGTAACGCGCGGGTCTTCTTCAACATTCTTCGGGGGCGGCCAAGAGGGGGGTGATGATTAGGGGGGTAGCACGGCGGGGGCCATAATACTTCCTCTGATTTCATGGCGTTTCTGCTTATTTCAATGCGTTCCTGCCCCCCCCCCCTGGACCGCGTACATGCCGCAGGCCATGATTTGCGCCCCCCTCTTGGACGCCCCCCTCTTGGACGGCCCCGAAGTCTACAGCGCATCGCAATGGTAGAACTGATGTCCAAACGTGCCTACGGCCGCCTTGCAAAATGCGCACTGGTTCTTCGCTGGTGGCCACCACAATGCCCCACTTAACAGAGATCTGATGTAGGACCTTGACACGCTGTACCCCGAATCTAAGGGTCCTGCCCCAGACAACCTGCCCAGTGACCTTGGGAATACCAGGGAGAAGTTGAGCACACTGTGCGCGATCAATCCCTTCACACAACATCGCGCATACATCACTGGGGCAGGTGGCAAACAAGTAGCGTTATGATCCTTACCCGGACGTATGTGATGCGCACCGACGAGCGACCAGCTTATCCTCATCAAAGAAAGGTTACCCCAATTGGTCCTTGCACCTTGGGCCAGTGAGGAGTTGTGCTCAACTTGCTACTCGCAGCGTCCCACGGCGTCTGGGCATCACTTGTCCTACACCCAGCAGCAGTCGTGCAACAGTAGCGGCACTGTGGCATCTACAACAGGGTCGTAGGATTGATCCCAGTGCGTGCAAATATATGCAGTCACATGCGTGTGGCACTTGGCTCCCATGAGGCTGACAGCTAAAGAGCGCAGACCTCTCAAGGTGGAGGCGGTGTTGCCTGAGACTCCCGCCCCGCAGACCCTTCCAGGCATGAGGCCAGTAGGCCAGAGTTCCGAGACCGTGTGCCCTCACGCAGATCTCTTGAGAGTGAAGAGCCTGTATTTCTTCTCATGGAGGACCGTCCGACGCTTGGCATACGTGGGCCTGAGAACCCTCCTACCATGCAAATCGTGACCGACTTTGCGCATGTGTTGCTTGCGCCAAAATTCTAGAATGCGTGCCGAAACTGTACGTGCTTATCCGCAAAGATGCTTTTCGACACGTGTCCTGACTTGCTTGGTTGCAACGTAAGGCACATGACCTCTTGGTCGCGGCAAGCGCATGAGAAGCTTGGCTACCATCCGCACCTTGCCATTGCAGGCACACGCCATCCCGTAATCCTCGTGCCTGTATATTGAGCAACGTAGCAATGATATTCCTGGTAGGTTGTAGAAGTACCGCAAGCATGATTGCCAGCACTAAGAGGAGGAGGAGGAGGAGGAGGAGGAGGAGGAGGAGGACGAGGACGAGGACGAGGACGAGGACGAGGACGAGGACGAGGACGAGGACGAGAAGGGTCCATGTCGTTGACCGTGCTTGCCTGAGCATGGCTCCAGGGCTTCTCGGGAGCCCCGTTGGAGGTTCATGGGCGCCCGACAAGGGGCGTCCGCAAGCTAGGAATGTCCTGGGAGGTCCTATTCAGCATCGGCGCTGGTATGTCCGTGGAAAAAGACCAGCTTGATCTGACGCAGTGTCGCGTGCGAATGCGTCTGCCTCCACCTCCAAGCAGGCCGCCTCCCAACTGTTCCGGCCGATGCTCGCGGTCGGCAGGCTGGTCCATTGCGGGGCGTTTGGGAGAGGCCCGCGGGCTGGCCCGTAACGCGGCATCCGATGTTTCGGTTGCAGTGCCGCGGTGCAGCCGGTGGTTCCTACTCGCCGTCGACCTCGGGCGGGGTCTCCTCCCTGACCTCCCCATCTTCGGCCTGGGGGTCCTCCTCCAGGGCGAGGATCCGATCCTCGCCCCCTTCATCCGTGGGGGGGTTGGGCCTGTCCCGTTCCTCCGGGTGCCCAGTTTCGGGCGGCGGCTTGAGCTCCAGCGCGTCTGGGGCTCCCTCACCAGCCTCCCCCTGCCCCTGGGCGGGCGGCACCTAGAGGCACACCGCACGTGCGGGAAGCGGATCCGATTCTACGACCAGTTTGCCGACGTCACCGGCGTCGCCATCACCCTCCACGAAGAGGAGCGCCAGCACCGAACGGGTCAAGTCTTGCAGGCCAGGCCAGGCCCCGCACCACGGTGTGGACGGGAAGTGGAGCAGGCTGCCTCGCCAGCCTGCCTGTGGCGCCAAGGCTGCCATCATTCCCATCAGCACGAGCAAGAGCGCCAAGACTGAGCGCAGCGAGGCCCTGCTACGCTGAGCATAAGTTCGTCGCCACGGCAGCCACAGCAGTTTGCAGCCGCGACATGGGCTATTGCGCAGACCGCGCAGGCGAGGCTGGCACGAGGGTTATCAAGAACCCTGGCTGTGGAAGAGTTCCCAAAGGTAACGTTTCCCCGTGAGGGGGCTCTCCTTCTTGTCATGTTTTTCCGTGAGGGGGCTCTTCTTCTTAAAGTGTTGTTCGGTTGTAGTATCTCCATGGGGCATTGGGCCGTTTGCGAACGGTCTCTGCGATTGATTCGCGCTCTTATGGCCATGCTGCATTTCAGCTGTGCGGGAATCGCGTTCTGCGGGACACTGGGCGCGAGCGCCAGCGATGCCCAGCGCGACAAGCTCGTCGGGGGCTCCGTTGCGGCGGTCTGGCGGGATGGGCAACAGGCAGCGGACCCGACCTGGGTCGGCGGGGGATCTGGAGCACTCAGGGGTCTACGCTTTCAGACCACGGCTTCGTATCGGGGAGGTCTAAGTGTTTGAGGCGCTCGCTCGCGACCGTCAAGGGTCTTCTCGTCTCCGAATCGGGCCGTTCCTGGCATCGCGCGTGACTAGCGGGTGCTCGGCGCACCCTGGTGCTTGGCGCACGGTGAGCTGAGGCAGGGTGTGCCGCCAGTGAGATTCACATGCGTGTGGTCAGGGCGCATGCCAGGGAGTAATTATTCTATTCGCAATTACTCGATTCAATTGTTTAGCCGGCAAGGCCTATTACAGGTCTAGCGCAATTACTTGCACAGCATGCTCTTTACGTACCCGTCAGCACGAGCACACACGACACCCACTTTTTGAGGGACGACCTACAGCTATCGCCGAAATATCGGCCCGATGCAGCGGGTGTCGGCGTCATGCTCACAATCCTCGTGCGCTTTATCCTATCCACCCCGTCATTCTTTCCTCCCCACTTCCTGGCCTCATCCCGCAGTCGAGGACCGCATCTCCTCCGTGGTCGACCTCACCATGGAGTACCCCGTGGTGCGCCGGCAAGGCGTGGAGACGGCAGGGACGGCGTAGCAGCTTGTCTCGTCGTTGAGGAAGTCTCGCCAAGAGAGGAGACAAACGCCCCGATCCCCACTATTTGTCTCCGGGGTCGTATCCTCTTCCTAGGTATTCCTAGGTGATTCTTGACGTTTCGCGCATTCCCACAATCCCATGTAGACAAAATGCCCAGCGGAGATACCGTGTACTCCTAGGGTTATTATATGGGGTGTCTTAGTGCCTTGTACCGGCTCTTGTGAGGCCCCATGGAGCGTCTTGGTTGCCTTTGGGGGGCCTCTTGGGGGGCCTCTTGGGGCTTCGGGGCCGCTTTGGGGCCTCCTTGGGGCCTCGTGCGTAGGGCCCCACAGGCATCCTATACGCTTCGACGGGATTCAGACAATGACGGCTCGACGTGTTGATAGATGTTGATAGATTTGTTATTAAAGGCATGCGTCGCTAGTGGCTCCAAGGGGTGTCCAAGATTGTCCAAAAGGGCCTCAGGTGAGCCACGACAGAGCCGGGTTGCAAATAGGCTGGTGGATTCGAACGGCCAGGCGGGTTACAACGGCCAGGCGGAGTAATTTGGCCTGGTGGTTTGGCACAACCATTAAGTCGGGCGTGTCCCTCTACAGGAGGAAAATTCACAAACAGTCAAAGAATAGTCTGGGGACGAATTTTCTATTAGTTGTGGATCATTCTTGAATGTTTCTGGAGCATTTTCAATGTATAGTCGAACATCGGCCTGTAGGGGGACATGCCCGACCTAACACAACCATAAGTTTAGACGGCCATGCAGGTTGGCACGCACCTCCCTTCGGGTTGTGTCGCCCAGGTGTTCTGTCCGGGCACAAAAGGGAGACTGGGAACGATGAGGAGGGAGGAGGAAAAGGAGGAGGAGGGGGGAAAGGAGGAGGAGGAGGAGGAGGAAGAGGAAGAGGAGGAGGAGCAGGAGGAGGAGCAGGAGGAGGAGCAGGAGCAGGAGCAGGAGCAGGAGGGAGGAGGAAGATGAGGAGGAGGATGAGGAGGATGAGGAGGAGGAGGAGGGGGAGGAGGAGGAGGAGGATGAGGAGGCGGAGGTGAAAAAGGAGACAATGTCTTGCGATGGAAGCATGAGCCGGCAGAACGCAGCAGCAAGAGGCAGTGCACCGCGCTAAGCAGCGGCAACCAGCGCCGAACAGCATCAGGACGCTCCGAACGACGGCAATCGGCAGCATCAGTAATGGGCTCAAGCAACAGCGTTTCCCGTTGTGCTTGAAACCATGTGTTACGCTTTCCAGGGCACCCAGGAATATGGGGTGTGGTTTGCAGAAGGGTAAGGTAGACAGTGCCGTTTTTAATACATGCTCCGCGTGCGGATCACGTATTACAAATAAAGGGATGTAGTATTAAAGACAATGATGAATGTATGCATTGATTCATTAGTAAATTAATCATGTATTGACAATTCAATGTATTTAACATCCCATGTATTAAAAACTGCCCTGTCCGATCGGGCTTTGGGGGGGCGCGCGTTCTGGAAAATTTAGAACCCCACCGCCTGAGAGACTGAGCCGTCCCGTGCGTTGAAGACCAGTGGCCTTGAGCTTCCAGGGAGAATGCGTTGTTGCAAAGTGCCTCGCCGATCTGATGATGCCTACGGTTCTCAGGTGCTGGAGCTTGAGCCACGTGGCTTGATGGCTCCCACAGGGGGGGGGGCTGGCGGACATCCTCCTCACCCTCGCCTCCGAAGTGCATGGCCCTCGCCCTCCTGCCGTTCCGCCTGCTGTTCTCTCTCGAAGGTCCCACCGCCAGCCCGTCCGCCTCATCCGTCACCTGCCCACCCCGCTCCTCGCTGCTCCCCCGCCGCCGCCTCCCCGCCGCCTCCCGCCGCTCCTGCTCCTCCGGCGTGCCCTTCGACCGGGCCCTGCCGATTGCTGCGCGCCCACGGGGGGACATCCAGCGGGGCCAGCGCCCCGGGGAGGGGAGGCCGCTCGGCGGCCCCCGTCCCCGTTGGGAGGCACTCCGTGCTCGGAGTGGCACCGCTCGGACGTGTGCGCTTTCTCTCGGCAGGGGCCATCGAGGAGCCCGCCGGGCCCTCTTGCGAAGCAAGTGCACGCGCGAAGCCCGGGGCCGGACGTCCGAGCGATGGCGACGTCCGCATTGGAAGCACCTCTCCCCACTCGGACGCCCTCTTCATCTCGCTCGTGTGCGAGCGCCGCTCGGTCTTGCCAGGCATACAGTGGAGGCGCGCATCAAGAAGCCAAACGCTTTTCGCCAGGGTACCCTGGGTTTCTTCGCTCCGCGCGCTGCGCGATGACTTCCCGCAGCCGTTGAAGAAGCTGCTGCGCTCACGGCACTCCGGGTGCACCTCTTGCGCGGGTTTTCAGGGTTGGGTTTCTTGCGAGGGTTTCTTGCGGCCGCGCCCGCACTGTACAGGAGAGGATCCTCCCCTTCCTGGACCGACGACGGATTTGCCACATATCCTGGACCTTTTCCCAGGAGCAGGCTTGCGTCCCGGATCCGCTTGCCGCTGTCCCCAGGCCCGAAGCGGCCCCTGGAGGCCGCAACACGGCCCAGGGGTGAAACAGACGATCCAGGAGCGGAGCGGGGAGTACGGGGCTCCCCAAGCGGTGTGGTGACCATACCGCGTGGTGAGTTTGTGGGATTCGGGGTCACCGCGCGGGTTTGGGACTCGAGTCATTTTCCGACGATGTCTCGAGCGATTGGGGCATCCGAGGTCACCCCGCGGTCCGTTACCACACGGTTTTCTAGGCCTCCGAGATGGGGTCCGAGCGGATGGGGTCGGAGGATCGCGCCGCATCGGCGATGCATCGGCGATGCGGCTCGATGCGGAACCCGATCTGCTTCACGACGACGGCCCCCATGCATCGGCGATGCGGCATCCTCCGACGCCATCTAACCTCAAGAGGTCGTTAGCTTTGAGGATCCCCCCACCCGTTTCTCTCGGCAGAGAACAATCTCGCCTCTTCCTTCTCCTCCTCCTCGTATGGAGTGCCTTGCCACCTTCGCCTGCGTGATCTTCCTGGACCAGGAGACGCGGGATCGTGGAGGAGCGTTTCGGCAAGCTTCAGGCGGCATGGCATCTGGGCCCCCGCCACGCCCACGGATGGCTCCTCGGCGACCGCTAACCATGCGGGCGTCTGCGTCTCGGTGCCCACCAACGTGCTCATTGCTCAGCCTCCTTGTGAGGGATGGCATGTGCTATACCCAGGACGGGTCGTTGCGGCCAACATGGGCTGGGGGTCAAGGGCGGGCTCATCGCCGTGAGCATCTACCTCGTGCAGAAGGGCATCGGGGTCACTGGCGAGAACGTTGCCATCCTGTGGGAGATGGCGAAGCGCGTGGCGGCTTGGAAGGCCATGGGCTATGATTTGGTGCTTGGCGGCGCCTGGAACGCCGACGTGCAGGACGTCGACATCAAGGGCTGGCATCAGGGGGTTCAGGACACCTTCTCTTGGGCGGGTCCAATAAGGCGCACGCAGCATCGAGGGCGCGGGCCCGCCAGGAGATATGTGGGCACTCCCTGGAGGCTCAGCCGCACGCGCCGGCCAACGCGGCCCTTGCCAAGTGGACCAAGGCCTGGGCAGCCAATGACCTCGAGGAGCTGCCACGGCCCTCGGATGCTGGTGATTTGGGGGGCCGTTGCCCCCCCTTCTGGGGCTTCAGGATATTCGGGCGGCCTTCCGATCGTTCCCCAAGGGAACTGCGGTTGGAGTCTTGGAGCCACCCGACTCCCACCGGCACTGTTCGAACACTTCAGCGATGATGCGATCCGCTACATGGCGGCCATGCCCATGGTCTTCGAGGCCCGCCTGGCATGGCCGAGGGTTCCTGTCCATGGCGAGATGGCGCGGTTACCCAAACTTGGAGGAGGATATCGGCTCCTTTTCCTCAGCAGCGCGTTCGTTCGTATCTGGGCCAAGGCTCGCCGTCCCTTCCCAGCTGACTGGCAGGAGAGTTACAATGGTGACGGGATGTGGGTTGCCAGGGGCGGCGAGAGTTCGTCGGATTCCGCGTTTAACAACAACCTGGAGCAGGAGTTTGGGGTCGTTGTTGGGGGAAAGGGTACACATTGCTACCATACTATTCGACATGATCAAGTGTTCTGACACGGTCAAGCCAAGCGCCCGTTTGCGAGCGGCTCGTGCGCGAAGATATCCCCTTCAGCTGGCGTGGATGCCCCTGGGTGTCTACAAACAGCCGCGCCGACTCAAGGCGCGCGGCTGCCCGTCGGAACCCCGCGCGGCGCTGCAGGGCACCCTCGCAACTTATCTCCTAGATCTTCTCACCTACCGCGCGGTGCAGAGATCTAGGGGGATCTGCCCTACGATCACCCCGCGAACGTTGGTGGACGACGTGGGCTCGCAGGTGGTCAGCCAGGATCCTGCGGACCTACTTGGGCTGGGCGTTGTATTCGTGACATTCACGGGGGAAACCAACGACGTGAGGCTCATTCTTCAGCCATCGAGGACGGCCGCTGTCGCAGGCTCGGAAGCTACCCGGATGCCCCTGTAAAGATCACTGGGGAAACGAGTGTTCGCAGATCCCCGTCCACGGCGCGGGGCGCAGGGTCGACGCTTCTCGCTCCGACGGCGCCGCGCACGCAGAGCTTACTCTGGCCACGAGCATCACGGACCCAGAGTTTTCCGTCGCGTGGACAAGAGGACCATGCAGTTTCGAGCTCGCAGACATCGACCGCGTCTCCGTCGACGCGCGTTCGGGAGGAAGGCTGTCACATAGTGGGGGGCGGGAGCTATGCCGTCAGTATCTCATGGAGCTTCGGTGCCAGTCATGCCCGACGTGCCGCTCCGTGAGTTTCGCAAACTTGCGGCGGTGCACAACGGTGCGCCTGGCGCACAGCACATGGGGGCGACTGCCTACCCCGTCACCCGTAAGTCTGATCAGCACGACCCCATGATCGGAGTGACGTTGGACTTGGTCTTGCGGTCTGCCACGTGGGTCTGGGGTGGGCGCGCCCCGCCGAGCCGCCTGCGCCATGCATTGGATGCAATCGGCCAGAAGCATGGCCGGGCCCTTCTTTGGTCCAGCGCCGGGGGCCCGCTCAGCGCCGCGATCCCGACGTTTAGGAGGATCGCATTGGACTTCGTCTTGCTGCGCGTGTTGGTGGACGATTTGGACAGATGCCACGACGCGCAACATGTCTGCCCCGCTGGCCCGCGGCCCTTCCTGGCGCAATGCGTCCGGAGATGGCCGCGTGAGCGGCTGCGTCGGCGCTGGCGCGCGGGTCAAGGTGCCCCGATCTGGCACCGCGGTCTTCGACGCGCGATGGCACGCGCGCGCGTGGCCCGCGAACTGGGCGCCTTGCAGACGCGCCTGGCCGACAGCTTTAGCATCCCGATCCGCCTGAACATGAAGCCCGATCGACCTACGCGGCCGCGCCGCGCGTGCGCGGCGGCACCCTCTCAGACGCGTGCCGGGGGCGCGCGTTCCCGGACTGCTCTGGGCTGGTCGGCCAGGCGGCGGCGGGCCGCGGAACTTTGGGAAGTCCCGCAGAAAGTGCGATTGCGCCCCCTGGGCCCAACGCGCGCGGGGTGGCAGGAGCTGGCCAGCCAGGCGCGATCGCGCCCCAGTGGCCCGACGCGATTGACACTGCGACGGGTCGTCACGCGGACGTCGCTGGCGCCGATATCGGGAGAGCGCTTGCGAGGCCGACGCCTCGACCGAGACCTCAGGGGGCGGTCGGCAGACCGACGCTCCGAAGGTGAATTTCGACATCCCTGCCGGTCTGTCTTGCGCCGGCGAGTTCGAGGCAGACGACTTCCCCCCTGCAGTCGGCCAGGCTGATGCGCGGGTTCCAGCGGGCCCCCCTAGCGTGGAGGTCGAGATGAACGACGCGATCGCGGGGCTTTCAGGGGCCAGCGGGCCGCCGCCCGAGAAGCCGCGGAGAAGGAGAAACCTCTGCGAGATATTTGATTCCCTGATGGAGGCTCGGGAGCACCTTCCACGCGCGTGGCTTGGGTCGGGCGCCCCCAATTTCGATCCGACCTGTCTGGGCTTCGGCGCGCCTGAGCCCCCGCGCGGACTGCCTGGCCTCGACGCGATAGGCCGCGATGCGATCGGCTGGGGCGCTCATTTTCGGCGCTGGGGTCCCACATCCTACGCAGACGCGTCAGGATTCGACCCGGGCCTCCCCGAGCTTTGGCGCCGCGGTTTCACCGTGTCCAATTGGGCCCCAGGACCTGGATGCCCATCGGGGCTCGGTCGGGGCCCTTGCGCCACTAAGTCCAGACGGTCGGTCGCGCCGAGCGCGACGCCATCAAGGATGGGCTTGAGTCCCGAAGGACCACGAGGAGTTCGTCGTAAGCCTCAAGTCCCTCGTCGACGAGGGCAAGGCGCGGGCCCCTGCCCTGGCCGCAAGACGGGCCAAGCACGCCAGGGCGTTGCGAGACATCTTCAGGGTTGCACAGGGCCGGACCCTAGTGGACCCCCTGTCTTGCTCTGAACTCCAGCACGCCGACAGGTGGACCAGCCGTTAGAGGCGACGGCGCCTGATCTCCAATATTGACTTGGCAGTTCTTTGGCCGACTACTTCGCCGAGCGTGGGGCGGTGCAGCACACGGTGGCCAGAACTTTTTGCCGACCGCGCGAAGTGCGCGATAATACAGCATCGGCAGATCATGCAGTTCAAATATTTGGCGCGCGGGATAGCCGCCGACATCCCACGGCGCCCGCCACCCGCGCAGACCCAGTGGTGTTTCGCAGGTCGCAGGAGCATTTGCTGCACTGCAGCTGGCCGGGCCAGTATCGACTCAAGGCTTGCGCTGCGATGGCGGGCATTACGTCGTCTTTAGCAACCTTGCGGTCTGGGTCCTTGCGCACCTGCAAACCCGACCGCGCCAAGGCTGAGCTCACCGAGGTCTTTTTCAAAGAAAAGAAGGACATGTGGGAGCCAATTGCCGACGAGCGAGTGCAAGTTTCGCTCCACAAAGCGGCGCCGATCGATCTTGCAATTGCCAGCGCTGAGAGTAAGGGCCAGGCCCGAGCCCCTGCGGACAGCCATTTGGTCGTCGACATGGTGGACGGTAGCAGGGGTTCAGGCAGGGAGTGCGGACCTCGACCGAGTCCAGTTGGTGAACTTCTGCGAGGGCTTGCAGGCAGAGGGAGGGAGTGAGGGGCAGACCCACCTCCCGACGGCGATGGGGACACGATATGAGGTCCCTGGCAACTGCTGATGGGGGTACTGTTAAGTCGGGCGTGTCTCTCCACAGGACGACTACGTCAAGATAATCAAGAGATTGTTTGGTGACGATTATTTCTTTATTGTTTGACAATTTGGGAATCTATTTTTGACTATGTTTCATGTTTCGTCCAAAATCCGCCTGTCGGAGGACATGCCCGACCTAACGGTTTTGAGTGCTAGGGTCCAGCACCCCCAGAATATGTGCGATGTAACGACCCAGTCGGACAGTAGACCGAGGAGCAGGAGCCTGCGTTCATGGCTGCGTTTACCGAGCTTGGTCACGACGTATTTCGGTTTGGCTCGACCCTCCGCTGCCGCCGATGTTGCGGCCATTCGCCCTGCAAGCGGCGAAGGCGCTCAGGAAACTCAGGCGCCACTTCGAAGGGCTCCTAAGTGAACGCTTCTACACGCAGAGAAGCCAGCCCACGGCGATCGATTGGATCAGCCGTGGGCTGGCGCCCAGGCGGCGCGGTCAGCAGCAACCCTAGGAAGGGATCGGTGATTGATGCCCGACACAGGGTGATTTCCGGTCAGCCCGTTGACACCCATTGCAGCGTGGGTTTCGTCCTCGGCGTGGCCCTGACCAGGATCGGCGGCCTCTTCGTTGCCCCTTTCCTTGTCCCTGCGGCGCTCTTCGGCAACGCCTCGTCCGCGGGGTAACTTTCCGAAGTCCTTCCTGGGCTTCGCCGTCACCATTGTGTGATGGTGCGGGCCGCGCCTCTGCGCGCCCGCGATCGGCCGCCGCCCGCCGGACCTCGGCGCGCGCAGCGGTCGCGCTCCTCCTCATTCTCCCCCCCTTTTCTTCCGCCCGGCCCTCCTCCCCCCATGTTCCGCCTCCTCTTCCTCCTCCTCCTCCTCCTCCTCGTCCTCCTCCTCCTTCTCCTCCTCCTTCTCCTCCCTCCTCCTCCTCCTCCTCCTCCTCCTCCTCCTCCTTTTCTCTCCTCCTACCTCTCCTCCTCCTCCTCCTCCTCCTCCTCCTCCTCCTCCTCCTCCTCCTCCTCCTCTCCTCCCTCTCCTCCTCCTCCTCCTCCTCCTCCTCCTCCTCCTCCTCCTCCTCCTCCTCCCCCTCCTCCTCCCCCTCCTGCTCCTCCTGTTCCTCGTCCTCCCTGGGCGAGGCCTCCAGTTGCCACACCGTCGTAGGGGGAGGGGGCCCTAAGTGTCGGCGCGCCGCGCGCGGCCGCCCCGAGCCGCCGGGAGCCGTCAGAGGGGGCGCGGGCAAACGGCCCTTTCTCAGAGGCGACGACAGGGGCGAATAGCTCAGGGGAGAGCAATACATGTATTCAGGGGTGCCGATGATTTATGTCTTCGAAAAGACTCCCGGGCGAATGCGTGTAATGCCCGCCCCCGGGCTATTATCCCCTATCTTGGCCGCCGGCTTTCGGCCAGGCCTCGGCGACACGACCCAGTGGGAGGCGCTGGCCGAGTAGGGCGGACGGCAGCCATGCCAGGCTTGCCCGAGGGGGATCGGTGCGCGGGTGGGTAGCAATCGGGATCAGAGGAGGAATAAGTACCGATACCGTTACCCTTCGGCCGTTATCCTCTTCTTTGGCCTCCTGGGAGGCCCTCGTCGCCTCCGCTGGATTCGCTTCGAAACCCTGGTGAGAACGCACCTCGGGAGAGGTCCAGGGGGTAGAAGTATCGGTATTTGTGGTCCCCCACGGGAGCCAGAAACGTACGCGCCCCAACCTCGTACAAGAATACGGCCCCTCGTGCCGCGAGACCAGCCTGGTCATACGAACGTTCCCGCAATGCGTACTTTCCAAACCAAGGTGGATTCATGTAAGTGTGTGTCATTTTCTCGCTTCTGAAGCCTCCCAGATGGGGTCAGAGTGAATGGGGTCGGAGGATCGCGTCGCATCGCCGATACATGACCGATGCGGCTAGGTGTGGATCATGATTGTTCCACGCCGACAGTGCTGATTCACCGCCGGTGCATCGCCAATGCATCGGCAATACATCGCCGATGCATGGGCGTTGCGGCGCGATTCGCCGACCCCACATACTCGGATGGGGCTAGGACGAGGACAAATCCGTTCAAGAGCGTCCCGGAACGCTCTCGGAACGTTCAGGAACGCTCTGAAACGGCCGAGGCGCCCGAAACATCCTCCAGAGCCGCCGTGTCTCAGAGATTATCGATTTCTCCTCTCCCGATGTTATCCTCGACTTGGCTTCGTCTTATACTCCGGCCCCATCTGGCAGGCCTCAATCCACGGAGTCCGGCAAGCCCTTCTTCGGGCCGAACGAAAGGGGGGGATAGGGAAAGGGGAGGTTACGAAATTTGTTGCATGCAGTTGGTTTCGGCCCCGCCGCCGGGCCCATTCTTCGATGCATGGGCGCCTCCGGGCGCCGGGAGGCGCTGGGAAAATCAGCTACGTGAGCTGATTCTCTGCCCTGCCCTTTTGCTGTCCCCCCCTTTCGTTCCCCCCGACTTCTGCTGATCTTGGTTGGCCGGGCTTCGGGAGCCATGTGAGGCCGACCCTTTTTCCCCTCCCTCCGCTTGCGTGGCCGGGGTGGGTTCGCGACATGGCTTTGCCACCCTCGAGCTTTTTGATCTGCCTTGTCCCACGAGAGCCGAGGAAACGCCGGAAAACCTCGAACGTCGAGCCTTCCTCCTGACGTTGCCCCTGGAGACTGTTCTCAATCCCCCCGCGTAACGTCCGCCACGGGGGAGAGGAGTGGGGGGTCTGGCCTGCGAGCGCCACAGCATGTCTGCGAGCACCAACACATCACGTCTTGCGTGCCAGGCGTCCGTCGTCGTCGTCTTCATCGCTTCGGGCGTGGCTCATGCTGAAGCCGTCTTCTCATCAACGCTTTGTGACCCAAGCTCCCAGTTGCAGCTGGGGTTGCCAGGGCGGCTCGCTGAGGCCGAGGAGGAAGCGCAGTGCAGCCCGCTCCTAGCGCCGACTGCAAGGCCGCTGAGAAACGAGTATTACAGTTCAGAGCGAACTTGTATCAGCAATAGGATGCGGACTGGGTATTCACGTGTATTCGTCCGGGCAAAACAACATGCGTTCGTTGATGAAGGCCAACATTCAAATTTGGAATTGTGTCAATCTTGCTATTGACGTTGTTAATTTCTTTCCCGTCTGGCCATATTTAGAATACTCCATCGACTATGTCAGACCCTGCTTCGGGGATGGCCCAGGAAGCACCGAATTCTCCCTAACCTAGGGATGCGTCCGTCATTGAGCACATAGCAAGCATTTTACGCGCGATCTGGTTTTCGTATGTACGGGCAAACTGCACGCGGAAGCGGACTTAGACGTGGTGTTCCCAATGTGTTCTTGATGGTTTCAAATAGGGGGGAGCCTCCGATGTCATTGATTACATGGCTTGCTGACCCGGGTTATAGTGCTGACCCCGGTCAGCGTGTCTACGAAAAGAGGACGGGGGAGGAGGGGACAGCACACATCGAGCCCTGGCATCACATCTTACCCGAGGGATCTGGCCTTCCAGATCTGGGATGGAAATCGAGCTCCATATCCTCGGATCGAGTATGCTAATGGACCTTAGTGGAGTGAGATCAGTGAGATCGAACTTGGAACCCCGGGCAACTTAGATCCTCATCGCGCCAACATCGCAGAGCAGATTTCTTTCGGAAAACGATTGGGTGGGCCCGGATTGTCTTGGAGAATTGCGTTCCGGATTTCGATGTGAATTTTGTGCGGAGTTGTTTTGGCCAGGAACGAAAACCCCAAATTATCCACGCGAAATTCACTTCGGTTTTCGTTCGCTGTTTCGGGCAGAAATCCATGCAGAAATACACAGAAATCCGCTGCAGCACGTCTACAAGGCCGGTGCAATGATCGATCCTCGAGCATTCTCTCCTGTTGCCTTCTCCCCTCCTCTGGGTATCGTTTCCTCCCAGGCGGTTCTTTGCCCGCGGCGTTGTCGCGGGGAAGCGGGGGGGGGATGAGAGGGCAAATCGAGAGAGAAGTGGGTGGAGAGAGCGCGAGAGTTGAAGGGGGGGGGGACGGGGGAGGGAGTTGGGAGGTGGGAGGAGAAGAAGGACAGAGAGTAGGTAGGAGGAGGAGGAGGATATTGGAGATTGGAGATACGAGCAGCAGAACAAGGAGGGAGGTTGGAAGGGGGAGAGGCAGTGGGAGGAGGAGGAGAACGGGGAGCAGGAGGAGGAGCCAGAGTTGGATTTCCTACGCTGTTGCGCCCGCGGCTTGCCCAAGAAAGGAGGAGAGCCGGAGGAGGAAAGGGCGGGGGAAGGGCCAGATCGTGGGAATGAACAATGGGGGGGGCATCGTTGGTTGCAGAGTCGGTGGGGCAGGACCTGGAGCAGGACGTCATGCAGTCGCAGGAGGCAGGGGCGGGAGCGGGAGCAGGGCATGACGGCACGGCGTGCTTCGACGCAGAGTCGGGCCGTGCGAGTTGGGCCACACTATCCGGCCCGCCTGCGGCAAGCCCCGCTTGAGTGCCAGCGCAGCAGCGCGGCAGGGAGGAGGCCAGGTTTGAGACCCTTTCAGTTCAGTGGATCATTGACCTAAGCGTTTGCGCGACATCCGTCACACTTGGAGAGGTGGTCGATGTTCTCTGAGTTTTTCTTGAGCGCAAGTCGGCCAGGTACAACATACTTTCGGGGTCGGTTTGCACAAGCTGCGCTCACTTGTGTTTGTGGCTGTTTTTGCTGAAGCCTTGAGCAATTCACGCATTACCCTTGTTCAGCACCACGTGGGACCGTTCTTGTTTTGATTTTGTTTTGCAGCAGAGGCGTAGCGAAGTCAGAACAAAAGAAAACGGAGCACAGTGTTCCCAACCATCTTGTGGTGTTGTGTCCTCGTTTCGGAGAGACAGCGCCCTGCGTTCCTTTCTCCTCTCCTCTCTCCTCCCCCTCCTTTCTCATTCCATCCTCAGACACATCCCCCTCCTCCTTCCCTCCTCCTCCCCCCTGCCATTCGCATGTCCCTGTTCAGAAACATCCGTCACACGTTTCGTGGCCCCATGGGGAGCTCAACCGACGGCCCAAATGCCAGCGCTAGCATGCGCCCACCGCACCCATATTGGTACACCGCTGACATGTTTCGTGACCCCATGGGGAGCTTCATCGACGGCCCCAGTGGCTGCGTCCGCATGCGCCCACCGCACCCATTTTCCCACACCCTTCCTCACACGTTTCGTGGCCATATGGGGAGCTCCACCGACGGCCCCAGTGGCTGCGTTCTCACGCGCCTACCACATCCTTTTTGGCACACCCCTCGCACGCTTCGTGGCTTTTGTGGGAGCTCCACCCATGGCCACAGTGGCTGCGTTCGCATGCGCTCACCGCACCCATTTTGCCACACCTTTCCTCACACGTTTTGTGGCCGCATACGGAGCTCCACCGACGGCCCCAGTGGTTGCGTTCGCATGCGCCCACCGCGCACACGTTTCGTTGCTCTTTGGGGAGCTCCACCAGCGGCCACGGCGGTTGCGTTCGCATGCGCTCACCGCACCCATTTTGCCACACCCCGTACACGTTTTGCGGCCCCATACGGAGCTCCACCGACGTCCCCAGTGGTTGCGTTCGCATGCGCCCACCGCGCCCACTTTGGCACACCCATCACACGTTTCGTGGCCCCATAAGGAGCTAAGCTCCACCGATGGCCCCACTGGCTGCGTTCGCATGCGCCCACCGCACTCATTTTGCCACACTCCTCGCATGTTTTGCGGCCCCATACGGAGCTCCACCGACGGCCCCAGTGGTTGCGTTCGCATGTTCCCACCGCACCCACTTTGCCACACCCCTCACACGCCTCGTGGCCCTATGGGGCGCTCCACCGACTGCCCCACTGGCTGCGTTCGTATGCGCCCACCGCACCCACTTGGCACCGACGGCCCCAGTGGCTGCGTTTGCATGCGCCCACCGCGCCCATTTGGGCACACCCCTCACACTGTTCGTGGCCCCATAGGGAGCTCCACCGACGGCCCCAGTGGCTGCGTTCGCATGCGCCCACCGCACCCATTTTGGCACATCCCTCACACGTTTCGTGGCCATATGGGGAGCTCCACCGACGGCCCCAGTGGCTGCGTTCCTGCGTTCGCATCCGCCGCATCCTTTTTGGCACACCCATCACACGTTTCGTGGCCCAATCGGCCCAAATGGTTGCGTTCTCTTGCGCCCGCCGAACCATTGTTGGCACATCCCTCGCGCGTTTCGTGGCTCTATAGGGAGCTCCACCGACGGCCCCATGCTGCGCTCGCATGCGCCCACCGCACCCACTTTGCCACACCCCTCACACGCATCGTGGCCAAATACGGAGCTACACCGACGGCCCCAGTGGCTGCGTTCGCATGCACCCACCGCGCTCATTTTGGCACACCCCTCACACGTTTTCGTGGCCCTATAGGTAGCTCCTCCGAATGTGGTACGACCAACACCAGTATTTACAACCTCAGATGGTTGGGTCGTTCGCCAGGCTAGGTTTAGCTCGCACCGTGGAAGCATAAGAACGGGAAGCGGAGTTCGGACGGTGTGTGTTGCGAGGGTGTCTCTCGTCATGGAGAAGGAGGCAACGAACACACAAGAGGTGTTCAACAAAAGGTCTTCGTCTTGGAGGATCGACGGGGTTGGCATCTCTTCCCTGGCGGAAGTTGGCGGAAGTTCGGAGGAATGCGTCGTAAGTAAAACGTAGCGCGGAAGTTGGTGGAAGTAATAAATGCTTTCCCCGAACAATGACAACATTTTTGGGTCCACGGTGTCCGAAATCGTCGCATGTTGATTCTCAAGATCGTGCAGGCACGGTGGCGGATTGTTCTCTGATAGTTGGAGCCACCCACAAGCTTTTTAATAGTCTATGTCGTGCAGGCACGATGGCGGAGTATTCTCTGGGGCTCGAGCCCCTTCTCCCGTCATACCAGAGCCTCCGACTGCGTCTCACTTTCTGCTGAAACGGCAGGGTGCAGAGGTGAAAAGGTGGCGCTCGTTCCTAGACTTCCGGCGGATTGATGTTTCGACCAGTGGGCCCAGAGGTCTCGATTTTTTCCGTGGCGAGTTCTTCGTGCCGAGACTTTTATGAACGTCTTGGGGCCCGAAAGGGGCCTTTGGAGAGGCCCCTGGAGGCCGAAGTTCTTCGAGCACGCGAGGATGGAACCAATCAAACCGCCCGAAATCCAGGTCTGCATCCATTTCGCACTGCTCTCTCGTCTCCCCCTGAGTTTCCATCTTCTTTGCTTTTTGTTGTTTCTCTCTCTCTCTCTCGTGGAGGAGAGGACACGGGCGGTCCAGCAGGCAGCAGCAGGAGGCGAGCTGTAAGCGTCCTGTCGCCGTCTCGGCACGGCGACCCCAGGAGGCAAGGGCCACCTTCGAGGAGGAGGAGGAGGAGGAGGAGGAGGAGTAGGAGGAGGAGGAGGAGAAGGAGGAGGAGGAGGAGGAGGAGGAGGAGGAGCGGAGGAGATCGCAAGCAGGGGCGGCCACGCAGAGGGGGCAGGGAAGGGGGGGGGGCGGGTCGGAGGCCGGGGCGGATCTCTCTCTCTCTCTCTCTCTCCCTCGTTCCCTTCCTCTCTCGCTCTCGCTCTCGCTCTCTCTCTCGCCGCGGCCCTCTCAGTCCGCTGCCCTGCGAAGGAGGTCGAGTAGTCGAGACGTTTGCTCTGCGTCGGCGGCCACAGACCGGGAATTGGATGCTCCGATCGGTGCGGCTGCTGTGCTCATCGGTCGTTGGAAGCCGGTATTTCTGGATTCCCGGATGCCGGTCTACTTCAGGCTCCTTCCTGCTTCAGGAGTCGAGGTGTTTTTGCCGTGTTGTGTTACTCTCTGGGAGGGCCCGCACCCCACTTCTTCCGACCGGCGTGTCAGGGTTGCCGGTCACGGGCTCTGCGCCCAGGGGGTCTGAGGTGTGAAGGCGCCTCGGGTCCAGCGTGGCAGCGCTGCGGGCCAGCGAAGGCGGGGTGCTCCCGACTTGTTTACTTTGCATCTTTGGGGGCAGGATGCGCAGGAGGAGGCGGAGCAGGAGGACGCGGGGCCCCGGGGGAAGCGCACCAGGACGAGGACGAGGGGCAGCAGCAGCAGCAGCAGCAGATGGAGGAGGACGGGGAGATCTTCCCTGCCCTCGTCCATCCTGACTCGAGGGAATTGTTTGCAGGCGCACTGCCTCACATGTTATCTTTCAAGTGAGTTTGTTTGCAGAAAGTCACCACCATTCCTTCGGAAGCGGTCCTTCCTCGTGTAGGCGGTGTGAAAGCAGAGGCATTGCGAATCCGAAATCAATCGAAACGTCTGGCACGGAAAGTTAGAGGCAGCCAGGTGGTCGTACGACAAGCAATAGTTTGAAACGCGGGAGTTTACGTTGGTTGATTTGTTGCTCGAATGCGTTTTAAACGTCTTTTGGTTGCCCACGTGTGTTGGTCTCGAGTGCGGCATCGAAACACCCCAACATCACCGCAATTGTTTTGGAGAAGGCTTTGTCAGCACTGCAGATTCCAGTCGAGCATATATGTTACATAGTCCAGCAATGCATCAAGGTGGCTGGGAGATTATTTTCATCCTCTGGCGCGTAAGGATTGTTACCTGGGCCACCCCCCCTTCCCTCCCAGGAGAACGGTGCCGATCCTGATGGGCCTTTTGCCACCACCACCATGGGTTTTTGTTGAGGGGACGGAGTTGGAGGAGGAGGAGGAAGAAGAGGAGGAGGAGGACCTCTCCCCCCTCCTGCCTATTGTGTTGGCGGTGGTAAACAAGCCCGCCAGATCGTACGTAGGGGGGCGGGACCTGGACCCCCCCCCAACATGCTGGTGCTCGCTCGCGCGCACGGTGGCGATCTCGTAGCGGACCCGCGCCCCGACGTGCGCCACCCCGCCCAGGCGTTGCAGTTGCCCACCCCCCGCCCTCCCGCCCGGCGGGGTACCGACCGTTGCCTGGAAACACGGAACAACAGAAGCAGTATTTTCAGGAGGGGAAAAAACACACAGACACAGTTAACCGTCGATCTTTGGGGAACAATGGGAAAATATGGGAAGTGGGGGGAAGACGAAAATACAGAAAATATGGCAAACATGTGGGGAATATTGGTATTTGTGTGTGCTTGTTTGTGTGTCCATGAGCCCCTTCATATCTGGACACAATTTTTTTCGCTGAATTTCCCCCTTGCTGTCCCGCCCGCTCGTCCCAACCCCCGGCATCCCTCGTGCTGACGCCCCTCCTCCTCGGGGGCCCCCACACGGGGTGGTGACCACACCGTGTGGTGCGTCAGTGGGGATTCGGGGCCACCGCACGGTCTTGGGACCACGGGCCGTTCTCCGAGGACGTCTCGAGCGACTGGAGCCTCCAGGGTCCCAAAACAGTGCGCTGACGGACCGTGCGGTGAGGTCTCGGGGGATTTCGAGGTCACCGCACGGTCTGTCACCGCACCGTTTCGGGACTCCAAACTCTCTCTTCCCCTCCCCTTTGGGACGCAGAGGATGTGCGTACGAGTTCTACCCGAACCGAACACGAGGTGTAGACATCTTCTATCGAAGATGGAACCAGCCTCGAGCTTATCCCTATCACTAGGATTGACAAGCCCAACGGGAATTACAATATTCGCGATGCGCCCTCAGAACCTGAGGGAAGCCTCGAGATCGATCGATACCGATATACGGTGGTGCTGATCCGAAGGATAGTAGAAGAAAAACAAAAACAGCATAAACATAAATGTTTGGCGCTCTGCGCGGATTCCTTGGATCCGCGCTGGATCCTGCTCCCTGGCGCGCGAAGCGCGCCAGGAGCGGCGCTGGAGGCGCCGCCCGGGGGGGCCCCAGTGCGGATCCGAGAAATCCGCGCGGAGCGTCAAAAGTTTATGTTTATGGCTTTTTGTTCTTCTTCTGCTACCAGCCTGAAGCGGATCCCTATCCTTCGGATCGGCACCACCGTATCTCGGTATCGATCGATCTCGAGGCTTCCCTCAGGCTCTGAGGGCGCATCGCGAAGATTGTCATTCCCGTTGGGCTTGTCAATCCTAGGGATAGGGTTAAGCTCGAGGCTGGTTTCTGATCCCCGTGCCGCACCCCCTGTCCCACTCTGCTATTGTTTCCAAGCTTGGCAGTTGCCTGTACTGCGTGCGAGAGCGTGCAGTGCAACATCATCTGTCCGTGACCGAGTATACTGCTTCGGATTGCACGTATCGGCCGCAGGAGTCGCGTTGCGGGCCTGTGTGCGGCCTCTCTATGCTGCTAATCGCAGGTGGATAAGCTCGAGCCTGGCTACCCCATCCCCGTGCCGCGAGCTAAGACCCCGCGGGCTCTCGAGAAACCCCGCTGGCGCTTAAGCTCTCTCACGCCTCGAGCCGAACAACCACGGCAGGACAACACACTCGTAACGCTCCTGTGTCTACACCTCCCGAGAGACTCTTCGACGCACCTCGCCTTGCAGCAACAACAACAACAACAACAGCAGCAGCAGCAACAGCCTGAGGCTGACTACCCCTCCCCTTGCCGCGAGCTCAGACCCCGCCTCCGCGGCGCCCGGGGCTCCATCGCGGCCCCAGCCGGCATGGCGCTCGCGCCGCGCCCGCGCTGCCCGCCGGCGGCGCTCGAGCACCGGCAGACGCATTCTTTAGCGGAGGCCACGGAGGGGGGGGCGGGGATAGGCGCGCAGGCTGGGGGGCGAAGTTTCGAGGGAGGAGGAGGAGGAGGAGGCGGAGGAGGAGGAGGAAGAGTTGGAGGTTTTCGGGCGCCTTCGTCGGTCCTCGGCGGTTCTCCAGCCTCGGGGTGCCTTTTGAACGGCCGCGCCTCGCCGAGGGCGTTCCAGGGGGTGCCCGGAACTTACCGAGGGACCGTCGGAGCCGCTGGGTTGCGACCGGAAAGTTTTGGGACAGCGTTTGGGGGGGGATAGGCTCAGGGCGGGACGCATCGCCCCTCAACCGCACATTCATCGCAATCATCGCCGATAGGTGCCCGATGGCCCCGCCCCGCCAGGGACCCGGACTCGCCGATCTATCGGCGATGTGTCGCCGATTCCAGTCGGTGTCCCCTCCATGAGACAGTCCCCCCTGATCGTTGCCCCTGAAGGGGGGAGAAGCAGCATCCCAAGGCAGGCCCTCTCGAAGGCACCCTCTAGAAATCATAAACCCGAGCTCTCGGAGCTCCGCGCGGATATCACGGATCGGCTCCACCTTTGCAGCGCTTTGGCGCCGCCCCCAGCGCGCTCCGCGCGCCAGGGAGGCGTGCCATGCGCAGATCCACGAAATCTATTCGGAATTCCGACACTTTCGGTTCATGTCGGTTTTGTTTCTGTACAAGGCAGGCCCCTTCGACGGCCCCCTCCAGTCACCTCTTCCCCCTCCTCCCTTCTCCTCTCCCTTTTAAAGGGCACGGTGGGAGGTGCGAGAGAATCAGCATCCCAAAGTGGGCCCCTTCGAGTACACCCTCTCGTCACCTCCCCCTCCTCCTCCTCCTCCTCCTCCTCCTCCTCCTCCTCCTCCTCCTCTCCCTTTTCGGAGGCCGAGGCGGGCGCCTTCGAAGACACCGGCAGTCACCTCATCCACCCCACCTCCCCCCTCCTCCTCCTCCTCCTCCTCCTCTTCACCTTCTCCTTCTGCCCTAACTCTCCTCCTCCTTCTCCTGTTCCTCCTCCTCCATTTCTTCACAGTAAAATATAAGACTGACTGCAACACTTCAGTCAGAGTAAATGTTGCAGCCTTCTGTGTGAGGCCGATTTGCAAGAGCAAGTTCAACTATTCCAGACATAGGCTGCGGCGGCAGCTCGAATGAGTGCAGTTGCTCTGTTTTCTGTGATCCTCTCTCTCGGAGACCTTGAGAAGGTGCGGATGTCATTGCAGTATGAGGATCGGGGCGAAGGCCTTTGGCGGCAAATCAGCAGAGTCCGTGAATGTGTATGTGCATAGTTTCCGTCCCTTGGAATGTTGTAAATTCCAGTTGTTCTACATTATGTTGCACTTGTTTCGCCTTCTTCGTGCATCGTGTCATCGGAAGCCATCCTC